GTTGGGTTCGTTGGGTTGTGTTGGGTTATGTTGGGATAGGTTGATTGGATCCTTGGGATAGGTTACATTGGATTGAGATTGGTTAGAACGGGTTAGTTTGGTTGGGTTGCTTTGGGGCTTGGCTGGGCTTCTTTGGGGTTGGATTGGCTTGGCTGGGTTCTGTTGGGTTGTGCTGGCCTGGGCTGGGTTTGGCTATACTGCATTAGGTGGATTGGGTGGGTTGGGTTAGGTCATGCTGTGTGGCTCATGTTGGGTTGTGTTGTGTTGGATTGGACTGGACTAGATGACCTCTGGAGAACACTCCCAACCCTTTGGCCTCCTGGAACCTTGCAGCATTGCTGAATCACCTCAGAGGAGAAGCACAAAGTGGTTCTGACAGAGGCTGCGGGGCTCAGTCGGCTCAGAGACAGTGAGGAGAAGTCCCTGAAGTCCCTCATGGTTCACACAATGAAGCCCAAACCTATCTCCTTCACAGGGACCTGTCCTCCTCATGGAGACCCCAGCACGGTGCTGGGTGAGCAGATGTTGGTGGGGGGCTGGGGACTGAGGGTCCAGGGGTAGCCCTAAGGCAGAGGAAGGAATGTGAGGGCTGGTGGGGGCAATGCTGGGAGCTGCGGGGGACAACCAAAGCTCCACAAGGGATGTAGATGCTGAACTTCACAGCAATAAAAGTGCTGAAGCATTTCAGGCTGCACAGATTTCCTGGGGCACATTAAGGACTCCTTGCTGGCTTCTTTTATTTTCTTTTGCAAAACCTGTAATTTTTATGACACCCCAACTCCTGTTCCCTGCAGGCAGCTGCCCTCCCCTGCCTGCAGAGAATTCCTGCTGCCAGGAGCAGAGCTGGGGCGGGCACCCAGCCTCATCTGAGTGTTCCTGCTGCCCGGCAGCTCTGGGCATGGCAGAGGAAACGGGGCCTTTCCTGTCTGCAAGGAGCACTGAGATTTCCAAACATTTCCTTTCCCAAACTGAGCTGCAAAGAAGAAAGTCAGGGAAGGCTTGGGAACTTTGCTTCTGCTTGACCAGGAAAGGCTGTTCTGGGAACATTTGAAACTTTTTTTTACATTTCAACCTTTTCTCTTTGGTTAACCTCCCACCACAGAATGCTGTTACCTCTCTAAAGGTTTTGCCTCCTATCTAAAAAAACCTGGAAACTTTTTTTTTTTTCCAATGCACTTTTTCTCGAGTCAGGAAATGTTTTGGAGCTGTTTCCCACAAACAGGTTTGGTTTTGATAAATTTTTTTTCCTGAAACAGGGGGAAAAATATAAATCCCATCACTTGGTCTAAAGCAGCTGCCTGGTGCCACAGTGAGGAACCAGCATCAGAAGCGTGCTCCTTTTCCCAGAGATGCCCTCACGCTGAACACACAAAATACACGGATCAAGAGGCTCTAATTCCCTGTTCATCCCAGCCAGGATGACTTCACCAAGGCTGTTGTGTCAGTGTTCCCACCCCGACGGTGAGCTGTGGGCTGGGATGCCTGGGACTGCCCTGGAGCTGCTGCTTGCTACCCTGCACATCCCCTTTGCCCCCAGCCTCAGCCTTGGGAACAGCGAGCCCGGAGCTGAACGCTGCCGGGCTGGGCTGGCTGGCACATGAGGTTTTAATATTTGGGTGGGTGATGTCATCGAGCGCTCCGTAACGCTGTAAAAAATCCAGAACGTCTATAAAGCTGATCTGTGAACCTCCAGCAGAACACACACACACACACACACACACACACACGGGTGTGTGCACATGGACATGCACATGGACACACGGATATGGACAAACACGTGGGCACATGGAGGGATGCATACATGGAGATGCACACACACACATAGACGCACCTACAGCGATGCACAGACATACCCACGGAGAGATGCACATGTGGATACACACGGAGGAACACCTGGATGCACGTGCAGGCTCAGGCACGCAAAGGGACAACAAAAGACGCACAAAAAGGAGCAGCACACACGTGCAGAGGTGCACAGCCATGCACAAACACAACCCACCCCGATGCAGACACACGGATATCCAGGGATGTGCACACACACACACACACACACATGGATAATGCACACAGGGGTGGATGTGAGCATGGATGCATGCAGTGGTGCAGGTACAGGCAGGTGCTTGCACACCCATTCACACTGATGCACACCAATGCTTGCACACGTGCAGGTTTGCACACGGATGTGTTGGGACACACGCACAGTTGCACACTGGTAGAATCCACTGCCCTGCAGCCCCAGGGGACACAGAGCAGATGCCACCTGTCCATAAAGCCCAGGTAGGACCTGGCTCGCCTCCCCCTCTCCCTGCATCCTGGGAAAGCCGGCAGGATGGGCTGTCAGGTTTTCCATTTACCTGTCAAGTACCTTCTCCATATTTCTGCCATAACGACCTGCTAAAAGCCCCTCACTCCTCCTCCCCAGCCCAAAACCATTCGGCCTTGAGCTTTGGAGAGATTAAGTCATAAAAATCGGAAGGGGCTGTGCAGTAACAGCCCCAGCCTGAGCCATAACGGCAGTGAAATCATCCTCAAACTATGTCAGCTCCAGCTATTTCCAGTCCCACGTCACACCTGAGCCATTGGCATGCAGTGAAAGAAAACACTGGGGGATGGTTTCCTGGCCCCAGAGCAGCTGTACAGGGACAGGGGCAAGGGAAAGATAAAAATAATATATATATGTTAAAAATATATAAAAGTAATATGTTAAAAATATTGAAAAAAATTAAATATACAAAAATATAAAAGACATCCCAGTGTATAAAAATAATAAATATAGATACAGATAAACAGATAAACATAGAACTAATATATTAAGATATTAAACAAGACATAAAATTATAAAAAGAATATGTAAAATAAGTGGTGTGGTTAAAGCCCATCAAGGAGCCCACACCTTCCCAAGGACCCAGCGCCTCTCCCCAGCTCAGCTGAGCCCTCTGCCCTCCTGATGGAGCCAGATCAGCCCCTCTGCCAACCAGTCTCACCAAACCCTGCATTTGGAGGCGGACAAATCCTGCCCTGGCCATGGCTAAACCATGAGGATGCAGCAGCGACTGTGGAGAGGTGGAGATTTTTTTTCTTCTCTCCTTTCCCTTCTCTTTTGTTTCCCTGTGACCTGGGGTAGGGCTGGCCAGCGAGGTGGGGCTTTCACAGTGGCTGTGGTTTCAACCTGGTGCATCCTTGGTGCAGTTATGGATGAGAATGACCATCCATTGCAGCTTTCAGTACCTGCTGTAGCCCCACAGCAGCATCCTGGGGCATGAATCACAGCATGGGTTGGGTTGGAAAGATCCTTAAGAGTCATGAAGTTCTAACCCTCTGCCATGGGCAGGGACATCTTCCACTAGACCAGGTTGCTCCAAGCCCAATCCAACCTGGCTCTGGACACTTCCAGGAATGGGGCATGAGCAGCTTCTCCAGGAACCTGTGTCAGTGCATCACCACCCTCATTCTAATAACTTCTCATATCTAATCTAAATTGACCCTCCTTCAGTTGAAAAACCATGGCGAGCTGGCACAGCCTGAACCACGGGGAAAGAAGGGAATTTCTGCTGCAGAAAAGTGACTTCACGTTTGCTCCATGATGTGATGGACAGCGGCTCTCCCCGGCACGGCGGGGCAGCTGGGTGAGGACCGGCCTGCTCACCACCGCTTTGAACCGCAGGAAGTGACCGCATCCATGCCTGGAAGGTACCTGGAAGCTGGGGGCTGGAAAATAACTCAGGGCTTTCTTCTTCTCCCCCCTCCCTCATCTCCTTCCTCCCAGGCCGCTCTGGGGAGCGGAGCGGGATGGAGCCCATAGCCGGCTGCTTCCTTTCATAGTCATCGGCGGCGGCACAGGATGCTTCTCATTTGGTGTTGTGTTTGTTTGCTGCAGCGCGGGTTCTGGCACCCGCCGGGCGCCCGCCAGCCCTCCCGTGTAGGTAGTGAGGTCATTTTTCCATGTATTCCCCCTTTTTACATACTGTATATGGAAAGACAATGAAGCGCCTTTGTGGCGTTCCATGGGAACGCGTCGCCAGCCCCCGGAGTGGTCCCGTTTATTAGCGCTTCACATTCAACAACAACAAAAAAAAGTGAGTCAGGATTGAGTCCTGTTAACACTAATGTGAATTTAATTTAGGAGAAGCTTGAAAATTAATGTCATTTGTTAAATATCCATTTCCCCTAAAAGGCAATTCTTTGCCAACAACAACAACAAAAAACCTCGTCTTCTATTCAGTTTTTAAATTTTTTTTTTTAAACAGCCTTTTTTGGCGATATCAGCCTGGTTTAAATCACTCGGCGCTCAAGGAACGGATGCCACTGGGTTTTAAGCAACAGATTGTTGTTTCTCCTTTTCAAATTGAAGAAAAAAGCTCCCTGTAAATCATCCAGTGATTCACAGGAGGGGGATGAAGCTCCAGCAAAGCACCAGCAGCTCCGAGCAGGATCCGGCTGGGCACGGTGATGGCTCGGCAAGATCCGCCGCTGCTGGAGCCAGGAAGCAGCCAATGAAGGCCAGGAGGAGGAAAGGCTCCGGTACATGGAGTTTTCCTCCAGCTCCGAGGATTGGAGACAAACCATTGGAGCAGCCTGGCTCTATTTTTGGGGGGTTTCATGGGAAAACAGGGTGAGCTATGAGCCATGGGGACCATGCATCGGTGCGCTGCCAGCCTGCCAAAACAATGACCACACCAAGGCTCATTTTGGAGGAGGATATCACATATTTTATTATATTTTAATCTGAGAACAGCTGCTTTTCCTGTTGGGAACATCTCTGGGCAGCACAGCGCGGTGCTGTGGGGCTGCCACCAGAATCCCATCCCATCCCATCCCATCCCATCCCATCCCATCCCATCCCATCCCATCCCATCCCAGGCCACCGTCCCGTGCCGAGCCGAGCAGAGCCGCGCTCGCGGAGCCCGAGGCGGCTGACGGGGCGGGCGGGCGGCAGCTTGGAAATTAATACATTTGCCAGGTTGTCAAAACATTAATCAACGGATACAAAAATCTGGAAATGGTTGGGACAACATGTATTTGCGGAAAATATGTGTTCACACAACAAGCACACAAGATGGGAACAATTATATGAAGATGTTTTAATAATTAACCAGAATAAAACAGTTTGCTCTCCATACAGTTCTAGACAATAAAAGTGTTTGCAGTCATATTTTTCTTTTGTACAAAATTCCAGTCAGTTGTTCCTCAATATTTACATTAGCATTCCCTTTTCACAAAATATCTCCTTTTTTCCCCCCTTCCTTTTTTTTTTTTCTTTAAATCCAGCTTTGCTACATAAATGCTTTAGATCTCATGGATATCCCTTGATTTCTTTTTAAAAAGTCTAATAAAAAAAACCCCAAAAGACATTAAATACCATTTTATATATAAAAATGCTTAGTAAAAATATAGTTTTGTTGCCCAATTAAAATATATTGCTGAGAATACAGTAAAAACTGTCCTAAAGCCCACCCCTAATGGGCGCCGACTCTTTAACAGCCCCGGCAAAGTCTTTCTAAAAGCTTTTTCCCCCTAAAAGTTCACCTGTCCTTGGGTTAAATACTGGGGACAGGTCACACTTTGGCTCATCCTGGTGTGATTATTTCAGGCAGGATTCACTGGAATTGGCTTGAAAATGCCCCTTGGAGCTGGTGGGAGCTGGAGATGTGCCCTGCCGAGGGCTGGAGCGGGGAGCACGGCGGGGAAAGGCGTCTATCTGTGTTATATAGTTATACGGTATATCAGTGAGTTCAGCATGGTCTGTCTCTAAAAAAAATTTTAAAAAAATCAAAATAAAAAAGAACGAACAAGAAAGCGATGCATTTAATGAGATACTCTAAATATGATGGAGCTCATGGTTAAAGGAGAATGGCTTTTTGTTTTTAGAGGAGAGTCGGGGCTCTCCTGGTGCACGCATTGGATGGTGGGGACAACCTAACCAGTGATGCAGGGGCTATAGTAAACAGCACTGCTGGCATCGGACAGGGCGGATATCAAACTGCTCTCCTCGCAGGAGATGCTTCTAGGAGTCACTTTGGACAGGGAGACATGGTAAGGGAGGCCCGAGGCTTCGGGACGAGTCCTGCTCATGTTCAAATACTGGTCAAACTCGTTGCGGTCAACGTCTGTCCAGAGCTCGGTTTGGTTCAAGTGATCCACGCTCTCCATGTGGTGGGCTTCAGGAGGGGGAGACAGCTGGCCCAGGTGGGCGGAAAGCCCGTTCTGAGTTCCTGAGCACATCTGGTTGTAGTAAAGGCTGGAGGGATGGGGAGTCCTCATGGCGTCGGCCAAGTGTGAGGGGGTCTGCGTGTAGGGCACGGCCACGTCCCGCCCCATGCACTTCTCCTGGGGAAACTCCATCTGGTGATGGTGGTGGTAGCCGCGAAAGGGCATCATGTTGCAGTCATCCTGCATGTGCGGAGGGAAAAACGCCGGCTCGGTCTGTTCCAAGACATCCAAGGGAGACATCTCAGGAGTTGGCAAGCCATAGTTTTCAATATCCGACCCCATGGAGTGGAGTTCTCTGAAGTGGTTAAGTGGGGGAGGCTGGGGGTGGCCCGGCTGGCTGCCGCCATGGTGACTCATGCTGAAGTTGTCACTGCAAGGCTGGGAAAGGTTATGCAGGAGGATATTGGGTTCCATCCTCTTGATTTTCTTGGCTTGCTTCTTTCTCCTTGGGCGGTATTTGTAGTTGGGGTGATCCTGGAGATGCTGGATGCGCAGTCGCTCTGCCTCTTCCACGAAGGGACGCTTATCGCTGGCGCTCAGCGCTTTCCAGGACTGGCCTGGAAGAGGAAAGAGAAGCTCTGTGAGAGTGGCTCAGCCACCTGGCACTGGCCAGGGCACAGGGGCACTCAGGGAGAGGCAGCCCAGCGGTGAAGGGCTCCTGCAGATCAGGGCTTGGCACCTGAGCAAGGTCTCACTGCTGGCAGCAGGAAGGGCTGGGGAATGGGTTCCCAAGCCAGGCTATTCCCTTGTCCCAGAAGAAGGCTCCAGCAGTGCCCAGCACTTCAGTGCTGTGGGATAATGGGGCTACATGGAACGGGAACCCCTCTGCCAGGGCTGGGGATTCTGCCTCCCACTGCCCACTGTACAGACCGCAGTCCCTGCTTCCCTGCATCTCGCATCCGTAGCCTGCACCTCTGCAGACCAAACCACCCGTCCCAAAAACGCACAGCACCATATCCTGAATCCCACATCCCCACACCCCGCAGCCCCGTGTCTCTGCATCCTGCTGCTCTGTCTGGCCATATCCTGCTTCCCGTAGTCCCGCATCCTGCAGCTCCATTTACCCATATCCTGCTTCCCGTGTTCCCACATCCCGCATCCTACAGTCGTGCATCCCGCATCCTGCAGCCTGTATTCCCATATCCTGCATCCCTGCAGCTGTGTACTCCTCAGCCCTGTATATCTGCATCCCAGAGCCCTGTTTCCCTGCATCTTGTGTACATGCAGCTCTGTATTTCACATCCTTACATCCCACAGCCCAATATTCCCACATCCCGTAACACCACATCCCACAGCCATTGATCCAAGAGTCCTGCATCCTTAGAGTTTGCAGCCCTGCAGCCCTGCATCCTTGCAACCTACAACTGGTAGCCCTTCATCCCACGTCCCTAAAGCCTGTGTCCCGCAACTCTCTAACCTTGCAGCCCATAGTGCTGCCTCCCCCAGCTCTGTATCCCACAGCACCCCATCCTTGGACCCCAGCTCCTGCACTCCCATATTCTTGCAGTCTGCATCCTGCAGTCCTGTACCCTTGGAGCTTGGCTAGCAGAGCCCCATATCCTTGCATCCTACAGCCTGCTGCCTTGTATCTGTGCAATCTGCATCCCATAGCCCTGGACCCTCAGCACACATCCCAAATCCCTGTACCATTTCATCCCACACTCCCAGCCCTGAATCCCCGTACCTCAGCAGTTCATATCTCCAGCTCTGTAGCCCTGCATCCCACTGCCTTGGACTATCAGAACCAAACCTGCCTATCCCAACACCCCCAGCCCTGTACCCCAACATTCTGAGCTCTGTACCCCCAAATCCTGCAGCCCTGCGCTCTCACAGCCCACATCCCCAGACCCGTACCTCTGTATTGCTGTATTCCCAGCCCTTACTCCCATATCCCTGTCTCCTCAGCTCGATATCCTCCCCATCCCACAGCCCTGTACTCTTGCAGCCTGGATCCCCAGCCCCACATCCCCGCGTCCCTAGCTCCGCAAGCCCGCATCCCACAGCCCTGTACTCCTGCAGCCCGCACCTCCGCATCCCCAGCCCCGTAACGCAGCATCCCCTCATCCCTAGCTCCACACTCCCGCATCCCCAGCCCCGCACCCCGCACCCCGCATCCCCGCGCCCCCAGCCCTCCTCCCGCTCCGCTCCCGCTCACCCAGCATCTTGCTGAGCACGGCGTTGTGCAGGTCGGGGTTCTGCTGCGCCAGCCGCTTGCGCTCATCCTTCGCCCAGACCATGAAGGCGTTCATGGGCCGGCGGATGCGGGAGTCCTCGGCGGCCTTGCCCTCGGGGCGGCCGGCCGGGGGGCTGTATCCATAGCCCGGCTCGGGGCTGGGCGTGCGGCTGGGGGCCGCGCCGGGGGCCGCGCCGCCGGGGCCGGGGCCGAAGGCGAAGCCGGGCTCGGGGCTGGGCGTGCGGCTGGCGGGGGAGGCGGCTCCCGGGGGGCGCGGGAAGGCGAGCCCGGGCTCAGCGGCCGGCACGGCGGCGGTGACCCATGAACAGTCGCCCCGGGGTTGCGATATCTCCTCTCGGCAGTAGTTAGACTCAGATATATTCATTCCAGCTGGACAGCACTTTGTGTCCGACCCGACCGGGTGCCGGAGAGAGAATCGGGATTCCTGCCGCGTCCCGCCGGGTCCAGCACCGCCGAGCAGCCGCCCGCAGCTCGCTTCCCTCGCCTGCCTTCGGGGGACTCGGGCTCGCCTGCGTTTGTTTTGGTTTCTTTCTTTTCTTTTTTTTTTTTTTTTTTCCTCGTATCTTTTTTTGGTTTTTTCCCCCCTTTCCCCCCAAAAAAAACTTTTGGGATGATGCTGGGCTGGAAGGGGCAAAATATAGCCGGGCTGGACCAATCAGCGCGGCGAGGGGAGGAGGAGGAGGAGGAGAGGGAGAGGAGGAGGAGATGAGGGGGAGGAGGAGAAGGAGGAGATGAGGGGGAGGAGGGAAGGGGGGCGTCCCCAGGCACCAGCAGGAAGAGCCACCCGGGGAGGGTCGAGCTGGGACCGGTGTACGAGCTGCTGCCCCGTTCCCTTCTGTCCAAGCAGAAGGGTTGTTAAATTTTTCTCTTTCTTTCTTGCTTTTCTTTCTCTTTCCTTTCTTTTATTTCTCTTTCCTTTCTTTATGTCTTCTCTCTATATTTTTTTTTCTCTTTTCAAGCCCCTTTTCTGCTCCCTATGCCCTGCCCTCGCCCCCACCACCCGCGGTGCTGAGGCAGGGAAGCGTTCAGCTTTGCCTGCCACGCTGTGTGCAGCAGCACAGAGATGTTCAGGTCTTGGCGTTTATTTTTCTTACGACTGACTCCGTTTGTGTGTTTTGGCCAGCATTCCCCATCCGGGGCTGGGAGCAGCCCTGGGGTGAAGGCAGGGGTGAGCCCTCTCTCCTCGTCAATTTTCTGTGGGAATTTCAGTGTCAGGCAAGGAAACGGCTTCTTGAGTTTACGTGCCGTTTACAGGGAAAGCAGTTTTGTTTTCTAGGGACTGTTGAGGAATGGGGGGTTCACTATCAGCCAGGTGATCGTGGCTAAACCCGGGGCTGCTGGGGCTGGCACGGCTGTGCCATCGCTGCATGCCTTGGGCATGGCTGGGTACCCACAGCACGCTGCCATCGGCAGCCACAGCAAAGCAGCACATCCCCTGCCACCAGGTCACTGTTCCGCTGGCTTGGCTGCCATCCAGCAGGGATTTGCAGTGCCAAGGCTCAGGCTAGGTGGTCTGAAGGTCCTTCCTGCCCTTAGCACTGTGAGTTACGAGTTACGAGTTCTGCGGGACCCATTTGCAGTCAATGAGATTGGCTGGCTCTCTGTGCCTGCCCCTTGAAGTGCCCGGGGCAATGGGGATGAGTTGGAAGAGATGTCCCAGCTCTGGGTACCTGCCCCTGGGCCCTCTCTGGCTGTGGACATGCCCTAGACCCCAGCCTGAAATGTGAACCTCAGCCTTAGGAAGACTTGGGGCACTGGGTTGCGCAAGAGCCCAGCTCCAGCCTCTCACAGCCGTGGGGTATTGCATGCCATGGTTTCTGTGTGTGTCTGGAAGTGATTTGGACAAGCCAATCTGCTGTTAACCCTAAACAAAACAAAGGCCTCTTAAAAAAAAAAAAAACTTAAAAAAAAATTGTGTCTCACTTATTCTTCAATCATCAACCAGGAGCGACAGAGGTTTCGGGTGAGATTTCCTTCACATTTCTGGAGCTTCTTATTAAAACTTTGAAAGTGCAAATCAGCACCAGTCCACAGGAGAGCCCACACAGCTGCAAGGAGTCTCCTCTCCTCTCTCCCCCACCCAGAGGGAGCCGGAGCGCTGCTTTGCTGCAGAAGCAGTCCCTGCTGCCATCCAGAGCAGAGCCCTGGAGGCTTTGGCTCTTTGTCCCTGCTCTGGAAGAAGCAAGGTGGGTGCTGGGGATCTGGGGACTCTCAGGCTGGGACCTGTGGCTGCCTGTGGAGTGAAGTGAGCAGCCTTTGGGGCAGTCAGTCTGGGCAGCTGGTGGGGACATCCCCCTTCTTCCAGGCTTCAACCAAGCACGTGGTGCTTTCCTATATCGCATCCTCTCTGTTGTCTCCTCCACAGCCCTGGCAGAATTCTTGGCCTCCAGGTGTGCTCAGAACTGCCTGGAGTCAGGGTTGGACTTGGGGGCACCAGCTGGCATTTGGGATGTGGTGAGGATGAGCTGCAGCAGGGTGGGAATGGGGGCAGCTCTGATTTTCTTAGCCCTGTAATGCTGTTAAGAGCTGGGGCAAACCCTCTCCAGGGGAGGTAGAGACTCATGTCCTGCACACTTACTCTGTGCAGCCACTCCAGGCCTGGGCTTCTTCCACATGGATGGCCAGGGGCTCAGGATGCTCTCCCTGTTGCAGGGGGCAGAGATCAGGGTGGTGCTGCTGTTCCTGCTACAATGGGATCATTTGAGAACTCCTGACCATGGAGCAAACCCAGACACTTCAACCCTCAAGCTCGCATGAAACCCAGCCTTGCACTGGGTCTGCACACCTGGTCTTACAGTGCATTTGCTGGTTCTGCATCATTAGGAAATCATTAAGATTAAAAAAAAAAAAAGGGGAAAAATTAAAATTGCATAAAAGGAAGCATATAGAGAGGAATGGGATGAAGAGCCATGGAGTACGGAATGATTTTGGACGAAGAAAAGCACAGAGAGAGGGGAAGGAGAGCTGCGAGGGGATGGAGCAGTATACAAAACACACAAAAATGCCTGGATGCAGAAGTGCCTGGGTGCAAAGCACTCAAAATATCCCCAGGCCAGCCTGGGAGGAGCCTGCCTTCAAGGACAATACCACCCCGTTTTGCTCTCCTCCCTCTCCCCACAGCCAGAACCACAGAGCTTCACTCCAGGGAGTGAAAGCCCCCTCCCCCAGGTGTGGGGTGAAGCTGCAGGGTCTGTGCCTGGCTCAGCTTTCCTGGCAGGGTGATAAAGCCCTCCTGTCGCCCTGCTGCCCACAGGGCTGGAGGGTGGGGTGCTGCTGGCCCACTGGCTCCTCACCAGCCACCCCTGCAGCTGCAGGCAGGGAGGAGCTCTGGGCATCCCTGGGCAGAGCCAGGACAGGTGAGTGCCAGCCGAGTGACCTCTCCCCATTCTCTCCTCGCTGGCCTTGGGATCAGGCAGGTTGGACCCCAGCTCAGCACACAGTGTCTGGAGTTGTGTATTTTTTTTCATTCCCTCTGCAGTTTTATTGAGCTGGCAGCTGGCTGACCCCACCCCGGCCCCTGGCTTCCCTTCCGAGCATCCCGCGCAGCCCAGCACCACACCTAGCAGAGGAAGCCTGGCGGGACAGCCGCCTCTGCTCCCCAGCACAAAGGCATTTTCCCTCCCCGCCCCCAGCCCGCCCCGCTCCCGATTATTTCTGCCGGCCAAGTCCAATGCCGAGCTCCCACCTGGCTAAAAATAGATGTGGCACCACCTGGATCATCCACCCAAGGGGTATCAGGGGTTTGAGAGCTCAAAGAGGGGCTGGTGGGCATGACAAAAAGGGATCAAGAAGGGATGGCAGAGGTGGCAGGTGGATGCTGGCAAGATCCTGTGGCACAGCAGTAGCCAGGCTCCCAGCTGTGGTGGGAAAATTGCTTTTTTTCCTCATTTTGCAGAGGGTGCAGGGCAGGGGCAGGGGCAGGATGGGTCCTTGGGCCTGGGTATAAGTGCTGCCCCTTCCTTGGGTGCCCAGCACTGCCTTCCCTTGCTCACACAGACCAGCCTTGCCTTTAGATGTGCTCACACCACTAATTGATTAATCACCATGCAATTGCCAGCAGCGTGTGGCTGGTGCCATTGTGTGTCCAATGGGATGAATGAGATATTTCACAGGAAGAGATTTATTATTAATGATAGTCAATAATTATCATTAGGCCACTAGGAGCAGTGCAGCCAGGTGGGATGGATGTGACACCTGCCAAAGGAGATGGGGATCCTTGGGGTGGCCACGGGCTATTTCTCACATAGTTGGGGGGACTTGTGCAGCATGGCCCAGGCTGGCGGCTCCCCCAGTGCCCTGAGAGGTGCCCCCGGTCCCGTGGGCTCCCCTGGGGCTGGGGCTGCTCCAGCCTTGCTGGAACAAAGGCTTCCCAAAGAAAGGAGCTTCCTGCAGAGCAAAGGACTCGGGCTGGGGCTGTCTGTGAGCCCTGCTGGGAGGCTGAAGTCATCCGCTGGGAAATGCTGTGTTCACCAGAGCCTCCCTCGCTCCAGCTCCGCGCCCGGTTTCCTCAGGCACAAATAGTTCAGTGGGTCAGGTGAAGCTGGAAAGTGTCGAGTGAGGCAGCTGTGGTTCAGCATCTGTGTCAGGAGCATCCTGGCTGCAGCCATGTGCCTGTACAAGGGTGACAAATCCCCTGTGTCCCCATCCAGGGATCAAACTCCCACCCAAGTGGGGGAAAGTGGGCGGTTGTGCCACTCCCAGTCCAGGGAATGCCCAGCTCAACTATTTTCTGCTCATGTGCTCTTTTTTTTTGGCTGCCAGCTCCCTCTGACAAGTGAAGGGCATCAGGGACAGTGGGAAGGTGTCCTGGGCCACAGTGGCTCTCTGCCTGGGTGCTCACTGCCACTCTGCCCTGCTGCCAACCGCGCCGCAGGTCCCCAGCAGCTGCAGGGCTGAGCTGGGAGCACGGTGTGGGCTGTGTTGGCCAAGCCTGGCAATCAGACTCTGCATCTGAGGAAGCAGAGAAAGTTGTCTTTATTTTCAGCTCTTTTCAATAACCAGAGGTCAGCCTTATTTATACAGGATTATAACTGGAACGACAACAGCGATATCCATTGTGCGAGCAGCGAAACCCACAGCTACCCTAAAAAAGCTGTTTGCTCTGCATGGGTGCACCCACTTCACCTCCTGGGTGATGGCCAGAGACCTTGGGTCTCCCCAGGGCTGTCCTACCTCCCCTTCCCCTGCTTTTGCTCTGCTACAGTCCCTTCTGGTCCAGCCAACTCTCTGGTCCTACCATCAGCTCGGAGTGCTGCACTTCCAGGCACATCATCCTGTTTGCTCCCTAAGCTGCTCTCTGTGAAACCTGGGGTGAGGTCCCCACACCCCAGGCATGAGCAGAACTGATGCAAATCCCACCCGTGGTGCTTATGGACACTAAATCCTGGGAAAGGCTTTAGCACAAGGAGATCAGAGCAAGCCAGAATGCACAGGGCACACGCTGCCTGCAGTCGCTTCCCTGGCAGCTGATTGTAGCAGCACTCGTTGCTTTAATACCCAGTTCCCATCACAGAGAGAGCCCAGGCTTTTAGGAAGGAAAGTCTTACACTTCTACCAACTATTTCAAGACTTCCATAAACACATTTTTGGTTGAGCATTAATGAATTACCTCAATGCAGAGCTAGTCATGCCAAATACATGAATACAGAGTGTAGAAAAGCCGCCGAGAAGCAGATTTGGCTGCCATTCAGCTGCTCTGATCCGCACAATTTCTTTTCTTGATTATAGCAAGAAAATGCTCCCTGCCTGTGGCACTGTGTCCTCCCAGGAACAGGCAGCTGGCCGACAGTTGGGCTGTGCAGAGCCTGGGCATGCCGGGGTTATTCGCTGCTTCCATCGCTTCAGTTGGCAGAAAACGCTGCTTGCTGGTGTCTGTGCAGGAGATGCAGCCAAGAACTGGGATCCTGCTCCCTCTGCATGCCCAGGCTGGCTGCCTCGGGATGCCTGACCTCCTTTTGGGTGCTGAGGAAAGGAAAATTGCAATTAGAAAGATTTCTGAGCCTGGATTTTTTTTTGGGAGGTAGGTTGGAGCTGCTCATCTGTGGCCCTGCAGCCACACATGCCCATGAGAAACACAGCCATCTGCAGCTCCAGCATGTCCCCTCTCCATGGCCTTGAACCCTGGGGACTCCCAGGAGAAGATGTGATCCCCAGGAGAAGTGCAGTCTCCCTTTTGATTACACCCTTCTCACAGGGCTGTGCTCTGTGTGTTCCCAACCTCTGCAGCCGTGTGAGACAGTGGGAGGTGGCACCACTGTGGGCATCAAGTCCCCTGGCTGGCAGCAGAAGGGTCACCCATCCTCTCTCTCGCTGGGATGGCTGATCCAGCAGCACAGGACAGCTCCATCTAGGAAAGGTTTGCTGTTCTCAGGAGCTGCCGTGGCTCCTGACATGGTTTAACTTAGCATGAGGCATGACCTCCACAGGCAGCAGCAGATGGCAGATGGCTGCTGGCTGTGCCATGCACCTCTATTCCCTTCCCCCTCTTTCCTCTCCCCTCCCTTCTCTCTCCACTTCCCCTACAGCCCCCAGCCCAGTGCTTTCTGCTCGGGGTTTCCAAGCACTGGCTGCTTTTTGCTCACAGGAAGGTGGCTGCCTGGTTTTTGAGCATCACCACAACCAGGCCTGGAGGAGGAGGAGCCCTTTGCAGCATCCCTGGAAGTGACAACCTTTGCCAAAGCTTGCAGCCCACCACATTGCACACAGGGTCTCACAGCCACCTCTGTGCTTCGCCAAGGCTTTTGCTGCCCAGCAGAAAGAATGAGGATGTTGCTGAGAGAACCTCACCTCACACAGACAGGGAAACACATGTGGAAGAGAGGAATTTCGGCTCAGAGTGGGGTAGATACTGCTGTGGCTCCATGCCTCAGTTTCTCCAGTCACAGAAGGCCTGTACAGAGCATGGGGTGACCCAGCTTCTCCTCAGCCCCTTCAGAGACAACAGTCTCCCCAGCAAAGGGCAAGATGTATCTCTGACAGAGTGCTTCTATCCTCAGAGAGAATTATAATAATAATTACAACAACAACAACAACAATAATAATTATTATTACAATAAGAACACTAAGAATAAAGAGAAGGACCTAAGAGCATTCCCTCCTTGCCAGCAGAGGAACAACTTTTGCTTTTAGCTGCTGCACTGGGGACATTAAGGGGAAGGGAAAGGGGACGTACTCCATTTGCAGCTCAAAACCCCAAGAACTGTGACATCCCTCCCATAAATTGGCCTAAAAATGAGATTTTAAAGCTTGCCACAGGCAGCATCATTTTCTTTGCTTTCTGATTTCACAGCATCCTTTGTGCTGCAGCCTGGAAAATCCCCCAGCAGCAGAGCTGGAGCTCGGGGATGCGGGGAGCAGTCACGGAGGGGTTTGGCACAGGGATGCAGGGTGGGACGAGGAGGGTGCTGCGGACCCCCAGGGCTGTGCCGATGCCGGGGATCCCCGTGGCTGGGGGAGTGCAGGAGGGAGGCGGCAGGGAAGGGCTCCAAGGGAAAGCTTTGTTCGTGGGCCAGCCGGGAGCGTGCGGGGCCTCCGGGCTCCAGCGTTTCTCCTCCACTTCGCTCCTGCTGTGCGCGGGAGCCGAGCCAAGGTGCAGCACGGCGGGGTGGAGCGGGTCCCTGAGGAAGGCAGGGGACAAGGGACGGCCGTGCATTTGGCCCTTAAATTGCCTGGGAAAGCAGCTCTCTCTTTCCATCTCCCCTCTGGGCTCTTCTCTCACCCAAGCTGAGGCTGTTTCCCAGGCTGCTTGCCCTGAACACCTCCACCTCTGCCCTTTGCCAGCGACCCCTCTCCTTGGCCCATGGAGCCCGTGGATCTGCAAGCTCAGGGGAAGGATAAGGAAAGGCTCACGACAGAATGGCCCTTCGTGGAACGCTCGAGCTGGAGAAATAAGGTTAAAGGCTCTTATCTGATGGAGCTGCAGCCTTGCCAAAGCCTGTTGCTATCAGCTCGGGACACATGTGCTATTGGCAAAGCTTCGGGGACACAATAATACAAACAGTTTTCATTGTCGAGTCAACAATGATGGGAGAAGGAGCCTGGTGCTATTACCGGTATAAAAGGCACTGTAGGAAAGCTCAGGACAGGAGGATGCAGTCAGGATCAACAGCAGGGTTTAGCAGATTACAGTTATATTTGTATTCGGGAAGGAGAAATCTTCCATCCCCAGTGGGCTGGAGCCAGAAAGATGGAGCCAGAGGTGGGGGTTTAGGCTGCAAGGAAAAACTCTTAGAGCAGCACTGGAAGCAGCTGCAGCAAAGTGCTGATGGCAGCGGGTTTGGACAAGGGCAGGTTTGCAGCACGTCAGCCCAAGGTTGTGCTCTGCTCATGAGGAGTTGCTCAGAGAAAAACTCACAGCAACAGCCCGAGGCTTACACAATCCTCTGCATTTTCACTAAAAAATCAGTTTATTTGGAAAAGCCAGTGTTTGCAGGGTGGATGGGTGATGTGGCACACACTGCATCCAGACACTGCTGTCACCTGGGCAGATTTGAGGATGATGGGGAGAAGGTGGGTGCCTCCACAGGGCTGGTGCACAGAAGCCACCTGTGTGTTTCACAGGCATCCTTCCAACACCTGTGTTGCTTGCCCCCACATTCCTTCTCCTCAGCCTTCCTGGCCCCTGTCAATCTGAATGGGGTATTTTTGGAGAACACACACTCCCATGCCATCCCATACCCTCAGATGACGGTGAGGTGATGGGCAGCATCGTGTCTATTGTGCCCATGGTAGTGAGGAAGAAGATGCAGGTTTGCCAGTTGTTGGGCCATGATGGCAGGAGTCAAGCATCTTTCTATCTATCTATCTATCTATCTATCTATCTATCTATCTATCTATCTATCCATCTATCTATCTATCTATCTATCTATCTATCTATCTATCTATCTATCTAATCTATCTATCTGATCTATCTATCATCTTTCTACCATCTCAGGCACAAAAGCCTCCCCGTCCTGGGGGGCCGTGGGAGGCTGAAAAGCCGGACAGGAGGTCAGGAAGTTGTTGGCTAATGTCAGGGACCGAGTGGGGCCAGGGTGGCCATTCCCACCAGGAGCGATGATGTCAGGCGGCGGCCGGGGCCAGGAGGCAGGAAGCCCAACGCAGCCAGCGAGTCTGTCCTCCTTGGACTTCCCCGTGTGTTTTCATGAACAATGCACCTCGTGTCAGGGACACTGGGAGGCAGGTCCTCCTTCACTTGGGGTACTGCAAGGCTCATCCTCCTGCACTGGGAATGCCATTGTGCCATCCCAGGTGCTGCTCTTCGCTCATGTGGAATGGTGCTGGCGTTGCATCCTTTGCAGGGGGATTTGGTGTGCCTGCTGCATCACTGTGACAGCTCTGCTGCTGTACTGTGCTGCTTCCCTGGTACATCTGGCCTTGTGTGAGGAGAAGACAGGCTGGTGGGCTTCAGAAGTGCTTGGAGAAAGGATGGCCATGCCACTTGCTGGCCCTCTCCCACTTCCAGCTCAGCTCAGACAAGGCACATACCTGCTTTGAGCATCCAGCCATGCCTGCTTCAGTGTCCAGATATTCCATTGGGAAATGGAAACAGCAATTACTCAAATGTGACAGGAAAGGCTCTGTCAGACCGAGACACATAGGGAAGCTGTGAGATGTGGAAAAGCCTCTCCAGACTGCAGGTCCCCACTGAGATGAGGAGTGTCCATGGCCCTGCTTGTATCCTCCCTCCCTAAGCTGGGGCCTAGTTTTGCATCTCATCCCCTTTGCGAACTGAGTGGGCATTCAGAGCTGGCAGGGGCTGCATAGGGTGGCTGGGACAGGGCAAGACACCTGGTCACAAACAGCAAGAGGGAGAGGGACTTGCTGAGGACAGGCAGCTCATGGGTGGCCCCAGGGACTGGAGCCGGGCCTCTCCCTCCGCCCCGCCCAGCCCAGCCCCGTGTTCGCAGAGGGGCCTGCGGGCCGCGTTTGCCAGCGGCTGGCAGCGATGGCTGCGCCGGTGCCGACAGGCCGGCTGGCATGCTTTCCCCCGGGGAGGCTTTAGCAGGAGGCTGTGCATTTCTGGGAATTGTGTTGGGTATTGTTCGAGCTGCAAGTGTGCGGCGCGCTGATGAGATCAGGGCTCGGCGCTCGGCGCTGGGGCAGCGGGGCCGCGGCAGAGCCGCTGATGGGGCGATAAGCGGGACAAGGGCCTTATCTGTGCTGCCATCGCTGCGGGAGCAGAGGGCACGGCACAGCCGTGACCTGCCTCTGCTCGATGGGGGCACTGAGGAGGGAACACGCTGCCTTTGCCCTCCGGCAAACCACGGCTGAGCCGCTGAGGTTATTCCAGAGAAAAGGCCCCAACCCTCCGCGCTGAGCCTCTCCTTCCTCCCTCTCTGTCAGTCAATCCCTGTCTCCAGCCCCTCGGAGGTCTTGACCCAAATCCTGTGTGCTCTGCCACGTCCTTGCTGCTTTGCTGACAGGACACAGGTCCCGTTGATCCCAAACGCTGGGGGAGACAGTATCAGAGCTCTGCTTGCAAAAGCACTGAGAGGAAGGGGCTGGGGTGTTAGAGCCCTTTGCAATCCTTTGCTGTGGCTGAACTGAGTGGTACCGTGTTACCCCATGAGAAATCAACCATTTTTCTCCTCCTCCTCCTCAGGAAGATGCCTCCACTGTGGCTTTTGACACAGAGCAAGTCACGAGATGCCGAGGAGGTCAGACCTGCTGCCACGGAGGGGCACTGCCATCCAGAGAGCTTCCCACTGCCCAGATCTGCAGATCGCATGGGTGAGCAGGGACAGCATAGGAAATGCTACATGGGAAAGCCCTGTGTGGGAGCCCAGGAGCCCCTGCCTTCCCACAGCAGACTTATCAAGGCACCAGTTCAGAGTGGTGCTTTCCATGGGCCAAAAGGGAAGTGCATACACATCAGACTTCTCAGGGTCAAGGATGCTGGGCAAGCAGTGAGAGGAGAGGCTGCAGGGGGCAAGGGAGGGAACCGGGGCGTGGGGAAGGAGACACAAATAGCAAAATGAATGGCTTGAACTTCCTATGTTTTATGGAGGTGAATAAAAGGAGACAGAGAGGGGGAGAGAAAGGAGACCTGAATGCCTGCACAAGGTCTCACGCTCACACAGTCCAGCCTAGACCCCAGAAACTGCTGGTGGCTGATGTGGGGTGGCAGCCTGCACCCCCTCGGCTGGCATGGCTCTGGGCTGGCTGCTTGTCTGGCCAGTGTCCCCCAGGGGTATCTCATGAAGCGTGACAGGCTGCTGCTTAGCATTTATTCCTCTCCCTGTCATTATTGTTTTGAACAGCAGCCAGTATAATTAAAATCGTTAGGAGAAAGAGGTTTAGGGAAAATCCAAAATGTCTCAGAAGAGCATCTGCAAAGCTGGAGGTCCAAACTCCACCCTGGCACTCACGATGAGTGGGGCCCATGGGAGCCATCATCTCCTCTGCATCCTCCCTTCCATGCTCCCCATTTCTCAGGGTGGCAGAGGCTGGGCTAACACACAGGGTGGTCCTGGCCACCTTCCCCTTGCAGCTGCTGCCCACTGTAGCTAAATCCTGCAGCTTTTCCTGGTGTAGGACTTGTCCCAGGAGGTCCACATGGCAGTGTCCCCAGGCACCTCACCTGCAGCTCAAGAACCCATGCTGTGGGGGGGATGTAGGGAGTGGAGGACATGGAGCCCCTGTGGGCTGCTCTTCCAGAATGCCATGGATGGATCTAAAATGTCTCCTGGGAACCATGATGTTGTGTTAGGAGAGCCTGTGCCACAAGAGGAGGTGTGAAGAGGACCCTTGGCTCCTCAGAGAAAACAGGATGGTCCATAAACAGAAATGGAAGTCACCATTCATGCCACATTCTCCAGGTTTCCTAAGTGTTTGAATGGAGGATTTGACTGCTCTAGGGTCAAATGTCCCCAGTGCCAGGGCTAGGAGATTAAGGACATCAGACAGCTGCAGCAAGGAGGGGAAGAAAAGGCAGATTCCTGACTCCATTCCAGGGCTGGCACAAGTGCATGGTTAGAGGGTAAGTCAGGAGCCCTCCAGCAAAGGCAGGTTGAGGGTGAAAAGGAGGGGAGACACATCAAAACCCCTCCCCAAAATAAGTGGTGCTCTGGCAAAGCCTACGGCAGCTGCTCCCATCTCCTGCCTCAGTGTCTCCCAGCTACTGATTGTTGCTCTCTGGATAGGATCACTCATTACCAGCTCAGAGCCCAGTGTGTCACCCAGGACAGCCAATCCTCCAAACAGTGACCTGCTGAGGTCCTGGAGATCTGAGCACCCCTGAGGTTAGGGCGTGTCGCGGGACAGAGCTTCCCTGTGGGTTTTATGGTGGGGGGATGGACAAGGCAGGCCCAGGAGCACCTCTCATCTCGGCTTTTTCCAAAAGTGGACAAAGCCTCTGGTGGCTGGGAGCAGAGAAAGGGTGGGGTTTGATGGCTGATCTCCAAATGACTGGAACTTACTGGGCACAGTGGAAGCAACTTGATCCAGCCCATTCGTTGCGTTCAAATCTGCTGAGAGTCGCATGGGAAATACAGTAGCCCAGTGGAAAAAACAGGTGAGATTTTGTGGGGTTTTATTTTGCAGCAAACTTCTCCTGGCTCTCCCAGATCTGCCTGCCAAGGGCAGCTGCCAGCGAGGCACCACCAACAGAGACTTTCAGGGAGTCTCTTGGTGTGCAGGGGTAAGCAAAAGCCCCATTCCAGCCTCTCCCTAACCCTAAACCTAACAAACCCTAACCCTAACCCTAACCCTAACCCTAACCCAAACCCTAAGCCCAACCCTAACCCGAACCCTAACCCTAACCCAAACCCTAACCCTAATCCAACCCTAACCCTAACCCTAACCCTAACCCTAACCCTAACCCTAACCCTAATCCAACCCTAACCCTAACCCTAACCCTAACCCTAACCCTAACCCTAACCCTAACCCAAACCCTAACCCTAACCCAAACCCTAACCCTAACCATTAACCCTAACCCTAACCTCTCCCTGACAGACTCCCCCCTTCTCTGTTTTTAGTACTTTCAAGTAGCTGCTTTCACAAGAGGTAAAAGAAAGTTCCTGGATCCGTTGACAGATCACCCCAAGCGGGAATTTCTCTGGGAATTCCTGCAATAGCAGCTTAGCTCCCGCGGAGGTGGAGTTTCCTCTGGGTCTACCTCCACCCAGGCTTGGGGAGCGCTCTGGCCACCGGCTCCACGCTTGGGGGGCAGGGCTGAGCCACGCCACCGCTGCTTCCCAGCCAAGGTCAGCCAGAAACCCTCCCTGCCCTGCAAGCGCCTGGCCTGTTGTGTCCTGTTAACCCTTGGCAAGAGCAGAGCCACAGCCTGGCGGGCTTGGGCTGCAGAGCTGGCCCGTGCCCACGGGCACACAGGGGCAGGGGACATGCCCAGCAGGCACACAGGGCTGCAGGCGTGAGGATTTCATGCCATTCAGTCCCTTGGGGACCTGCTGCCAGGCAGTGGTGGGCCCTGGGTGAGGCTGGTTGCTACTGCGGGAGGCCAGCGCTGGCAGGGAGATGGCTCCTGCTCAAGGCAGGGAGCGACGGGGTGATGGTGCTTGGCATCAGTGACTGTGTGCTCTGGAATCTGAGACACGTCCCCGGCCATACTTGTGGTCAGGAGCCATCTCTGCGTTGCAGCAGCACAAGCCACACTCCCAGTGGCAGCAGTGCTGCTTGAGCGTGTCTCTGATGCCAAGGACCGGCGTGACCCGACCCCACACACAGGACAGGCAGCTGCTCATTTCCAGAAGGTGCCCTTGTTGGGACTTGTTTCCTCCTCTCTAACAGAGGTAGGCCTCTCCAAAATGGCACCCACTGACTCCACAGCCGGACCCTGCCAAGGGTTGGAGGATTTCCAGGTGCTGCACGGGCTCCAGACTGTGGGGTGGAGGGAACTTGTGTTCGCAAACACACGGCCAAGCCAAGAAGTTTCAAGGTGTCATGCTAGGGAGAGGGTCCAGTGCTCACTTTTGGTCTGGGACCACCTTTGCTGCTTTAGGGATGAACTGCCATGTGTCTCACATATCCAGGGTGCAGCTCTTGCTAAAGGGGATCCCAGAGCTCTGTGGTATTTTTATAAATCTCCATGGTATTGCTATAAAGAACAGCAGCAGGCAGCTTGCTAGTGGGCAGATTTGGGGATCAGCCACCCATCAGAGCTTTAGCACTGATCTGTTCAATGCTTCTCTCTCTGGAGGTATTTGAAACTCATCTGAACAAGTTCCTGTGTCACCTGCTTTAGGTGACTCTGACTTTGAAGGGGGGCTGGATGATCTCCAAGCCCTTGAGCCCTACCAATTCTGTGATTCTGTGATTCTGAGATTATGCCCTCAGTGACTCAGCCTGCCCCAGGACAGAGTGCAGTTGGAGATGAGCACTGGGAATTCTGGTTCCCAAGACCTGACTGCGCATCCTGAGGCCACACGTAGCATATCCCTGTGCTTCCACATGATCTGCAGCTCCATCGGGGCAGGACACGGCCGCTCTTCACCAGTACAGTCAGGGCCCTCTCCGAAACATCGGCGCTTGGCGAGGGCTGTGCATGGGAGTTCTCCCTCTGCCAGGAACCAGCTGAGGGAGCGACAGCGCTCAGCAGCAGCTCCCGGGGGATGCGCTGCCCTCGCACAGTGTGCGACTGCCATCTACAGGGGGTCTAGCCTGGCCCCCCAAAAACACCCATCCTCTCGCCACTGCTGACTGCTGTCCAGTCCCCAAGGCCGTATGAGGGGCACACCTCAGTTTATCCAGGGAGCATTTATCCACTTTATCCAGCAGTTTATCCAGCACTGCTCCGAGGGCTCAGCACAGCCACAGACAACAGTCACAGCCACAGAATGGTTTGGGGTGGAAGGAGCCTGTAAAGCTCATCTTGTTCCAACCCCCTGCCATTGTCAGGGACACCTTCCACTATCCCAGGCTGCTCCAAGCGCCATCCATGAAACTTCCAGGGATCCAGGGGCAGCCACAGCTTCTCAGGGCACCCTGTGCCAGGGCCCCACCACCCTCACAGGGAAGACTTTCTTTCCAATACCCCATCTAACCCTGACCTCAGTCAGTGTGAAGCCGTTCCCCCTCGCTCTGTCGCTGCAGGCCCTTGTCCAAAGTCTCTCCATCTCTCTTGGAGCCCCTTTAGGCACTGGAAGGGGCTTTAAAGCTCTGCCAGGAGCATTCTCTTCTCCAGGCTGAACCCCGCAGCTCTCAGCCTGTCTCCACTGCAGAGTGCTCATTATCTCCGTGGCCTCCCGGCCCCGCTGCAGCATTTTGGGACGCGGCAGTTCCCGCCGTGCCGTGGCACAGCCCCCGGCCGGGACCGGGGGTCCCTCAGCCGCGGCTCCGCTCCGAGCGCCTCCGCGGGGCGAACCGCGGCCCCCACAGCGCCCCCGGCGGCCGGGCGGCGCCGCGAGAGACGGCCGCGGGGCACGCTGGGAGGTGAAGTCCCGCCCGTGAGCTGCACTCCGGCAGGCGGCGGGTGGAGCTGGCGTCCCGAGGACTACAACTCCCATCGTGCCCCGCGTGCGCCCGCCCTGACTGCGGCACCGGGGGCTGAGGTGGGCACCGGGCACCGAACGCAGCTCCCCCCGCCCGGACCCCCGTCCGGCCCCGGCACCGATCCCGGGGAGAGGCGCGATGGGCGGGGAGGACGAGA